AAAAAGAACAGTTCTTGATCTCAAATGAATGAACTGTTTTTCTAAACAGATAACAACACTTTTTTTTTGTTCACCCATTTGCCACTAGTCGAGTTGCTGTTTGATTTTTTTTTCGTTCCGTTTTTTCCAAACGAAACAAAACCTCTTTCTGCTTTCCAACGAACCTATCAGTTCATCATGAAAATAACCCAACAGTTTTTTCATTAGACATGTTTCAAAACTGTTAAGTTTAGGGATATAATTTTTAGCTCCCATTATTAATGTAGGCTAGAAATAAATAAATACTTTCATTATAGTTACTACATTACTAAATTGACTTTAGCATATTTGTAGGCGAAATTAGTTTATGTTTTTAGTTGTATGTATCTATATTAGTGTCTTGCAGACCGAAAATAATTTTTATGATTGAACATATTCACATATTTCAATTTAATTGCATAAATAAAATTAAACACTATTATGTTCTATAAAAAGGTTACAATCAAACAGCTGATAAGAGAAACAAACGACTAATGAAATTTATGCCACATCTAATCAAAGATCATAAATATGTTATAAAATAAATAAACATTTAAAAAAAAAAATACGAAGTGAAAAAGATAAATAATGAAAAAAAAAGCAATACCAAAGGAAGGTTATCATAAAAAATGCTAAATACATAGATGAGATAAAATACGAGAACAATGCTTCATTTTTTAGACCTTACTAAGATACTCAGCGTTGTTTCTGAATAAAGGTTATTTAAGTTACCACTGTCAGTCCTATAGTTTATCCAGATTATTGCTATATGAATAGCTTCAAATATCTTTCTCTTTGAAATATTCTTCTCTTTCTAAAGCACTCTGACATTACTAAAATCAACTTCATGTTTAAATATTTTAGAGTGCTTAGGTAATGCAGTGTTATGCGCCTTTCTGTTAATATTCTTATAGTCATATTGATGCTGATACATTATTCTATGCACAATTAAAGAAGTTTCACGAGTATATACCTTCGAGCAATTCACACACCTAATTTCATTGGCGAAACGGTGATAGGTTTTTCTTTGTCTACATTTTGAATACATAAGGCTGCCTGGTTAGTAATTTTTCCATTAATAACCTAACGTTCATGTTCTGCCTCCTGATTATTTTGTTACTATATTATGAATGAAGTATTCGGTTAGAGTTCTCGGAGTGTTATACTAGTGTAATGATAATATTGTATTTCAGTTATCATGATCAATTATACAATTAAACTTATTTGATATATGATTGAATCCAGCAATTAGATTCTTCTTATCCTTGCTCCTACTGGCGCTTGATTCTTATCGTTATTTCTACTAGGGCTGGAAATAAATACGTAAAAGACAAAACATATGATTATCTCCTAAAATGGTGATATCAATATAGAAGGTAATATGTTTCAACACGTAGAGAAGTTTAGGTATATATGTTCTACTATAACTAGAAAAAACGAAATTGAAGAGGAGATTTAGGTTAGACTGAAGGCGAGAAATGCTTGATATGTTTCTGTGACAAAACTACTTAGCTCGCGCCTCTTGTCTCGGAACTTAAAAACTAGAATCTATAAAACTATTATCTTATCTAAAGTTCTGAAAATAAAGTATTGCGTAGAATATTCGGACCGAAGAAGGATGAGTAAACTAACCGGAGAGTTTAGACTTTTACACAACGCCGAATTGCGTGAACTTTATCCGGTTAATATGATTGAGGTGTTTACCACGAGACGAATAAAATAGGCTAGTAAGATTGTTGGGCTTAGTAACGAAAGAATTCCTAAAAAGTTAATATTTGCCGTACCGAATGGTGAACGTCCGAAGGGTAGACCGAAGCGAAGGTGGGAATATTGCGTTAAAGCCGATCTGAAGGGACTAGGTTTGGACGTCGAACGGTGGAAGTGTGTAATAAGCGAGTGGTGGTGTCGGCATCGAACCTTCGGGTTCGTTAAGCCTATTATTCTATTCTTATCCTTGCTCACCCTCCCGGTGATATCACTATAGCAGCAAGCGATGACGGATGGCTCATTTTTCCCTTCCCCCTATCCTTCGTGTTAAGAAGCAGTATTTTTTTTTTTTTTTTTTTTTGCTTGGGCTTGTTCCTCTCATTTGTTTCCGTAAGAGGCCGGTTGAGTTGTGGAGGGATAATTTTTCTTACTAAAAAATGCAAGGCTATTAATCTTACCAATCCCTTCCCCTTTAGGTTAACCTCCTAGTGCCATTTTATCCTTAGTGTCATCATCACTTTTATTTTCTTCCCTCTTATGTTAGTTTTGTGTATGTTTCTGTTTTCTTTAGAGAGAAAGGGGATTGTTCGATAATGGAGAGGTTTTTTTTCTAAGCCGACTTCGATTAAAAAAAAACGTTGCAAATTAATACACAATGGTACATTATTTAAAAAAAAAAATTGCACCAAAAATAACATTATTTTTTTTGTAACATAAGTATAAATAATTATTAGGTGATCCCTAATATTGGCCTAAATATATATATTTGATTTCATCATAAGTAATTTGTTGATAAAAATAAAAAAATTGCTTCAGTTGATGTAACACTTCAGAAATATCAAAAACCACCAAAACAAAGGATATAAACTTTGCTGTAGAACATTAGAAAAATATTTAAAACACCATATCTCTGCACTAAATTTCCACGATTTTTTTATTTTCACTTACCTATATATAAAATATATAGTAAGGAAAGTATCGCGATCGTGAAAAATTTGGAATCTGAGTTTTCAATGGTTGTTACATGTTTTGAGGTCTCTGTGTTGAAATATTGTAGTCCCGCGAAATGGTCTGTGTGTGTGTGTTTACAGTCTGGCTAAAAACCGAAAAGTCGTATGAAAGTGAAATTGCATATTTAAGGTTTTTGTATACTTGGTGTGTGCAGCAAAACTTTTTTGTCAAAATCGGCTTTTTTATTAAACTCAGTATATCAGTGTATTATTAAGCAGTTTTTAATATAATGTAGGTTTTATTCTCATTGATGTTCTCAATCAAGGCTTAAATGGCTAATTTTCAATATTGGCTTCCTCTAAAGTACCTTTATTTTTTTTTTTAATTTGAAATAATTATCCATTTCTCATTTATCTGTAATTTAAAAGTAGTTAAATATAAAATATGAAAGAATTTGATAATTAACCAAAGGAATACGCTATATCCTCTTGGAACTTTTCCCTTATATCCGGTGTATTTAGCTTTTCCGTGACCCGTTTCTTTTTCCTACCGCCTGTTTTACTGGAATGTTGGTAATAACTTTTACTATTTTCGGGAAATGGTCGGAATCTATATTCGAACCCTTATAGGACCTCATGTCATTCATCCAGTTGAAATGTTCCAACGACACCAAAACGTGGTCTGTTTCACTGTGTGCTACATTTGGTGCTCTCTAAGTATACTTATGCTTGTTCTTGCAAGAGAAAATTGTGCTCATTACCTGTAGCATAATCAATCATTCGCTCGCCCGAATGATTACTACAGGCTTCCATACGTAACATGAGCTTCATATAATAAGGATTCCGACAATATCATGTACATATACATATGCGGTTTTCATAAATGCTATCGCTGGTATTATTTAATATTTAATTGTATACAATATAAAAATATTATATAAAGCGATATAAAAATTAAAATATGTATATATGTAACGGTACCCAAAATAAAAATACCCACAATGAATTGTAAATAAATATAGTGTCAATAATTTTTACTTTCTCTTCCACTTTGTCTGAGAATACCTATTTATGTTAAGAAGAGGGTGGTAATTGAAAGTCGTGTGATGCGTGCTCCAGATTTTTTTTGTACCTCTTGATATCTGCTATCACCCTTATAAATTTTTCCCTCGGTACTCGGTATAATAGGGGGTATCGTTCCACTATTATCTGCCAATGTTTATAACCTTAACACTGATAACTCTGATAAGTCACTGATAATATCTTCGTATTCATATTTATTGTATTAAAGCGTGTGTAACAGCACCGCTAGTTGCCTGGCAACCGGATAACAGAGATTTGAGATGATATAAAAAGTAGGAGTTCGCGTCCCGGTGCCGGAGGGGATTTTAAATTTCCCCGCCCTCACCCCCGGCCCGGGAAAATCACGTATAGCCTAAAAGGCGAGGTAGGGAAGAACAAAAAAAAAATAAAAAAAAAAAAAAATATATGTATATTGTATTATATCTTTGTATTCATATTTATTGTATTGTATTGATATTATTGAAATTGTGAACAAAAACAAAGACAAACGTAATAATAAAAAAATACTTTTATTTTACAAGATATATATTACCTAACTGTTCTCGTTAATTTATCCTAAGAGCTTAATTAATACTTAATTTATTACAAGTATTTTGTTATTGGTCTTTTGTCCAGATTTATCGTTAATTTTTATGAACAATAATGTTATTCTAAAGCGACCTAGTTCCAGAATAAAGATGATTTTTTCTTTTCTATTACATGGACCAAAACAATATATATATATATGTAATTAAAAAAAAACATTACGAAAACATTGCAACATAAAAATGAATGAAATAATAAAAATAGGCAAAAATATATTAATTAATAAAGAACCACTTAAGCAGCATAAATGAAACACTATGAAAACTATAAAAAACATATGTACATATAAAAGAAACGATATAAACATAATTAATTGATTATCCATAATTAAATAAGACTAACTCACAGCTTACACAAGGAACAAAAAATAAACAAGGGAATAACTTAGGTTAGAGGAGATAAGAGAGATTATGTGAAAGAAGATTAGATAACAAGGGAGGTTTTGATGCTACCCACTATTAGTACCTTTCCCTCTACCTAAGGACAACCTTTCTTTAACTTTAACGTTTAATAAATATGATTCAATTATATAAATAAATAATTCGGTTGGATGTCAAAACTTCTTTTTGCAAGTCCTCTTTATAAGGATAAATAGACAAAAGCATTAGTTTTAATAGACGTCTATATATAAGGGAGAGTTAAGACGTGCCCGTTTATATGTCAATAAAGTTTTTCCTCCGGGACATGGCCCTCTGCTGTTCTGATAGAAGGTGTGGGGGAGGAGAACTTTTCGTGATCGAAGGAGTAAAAACTTTTAGTACCGGAGTATATAGGGAGCGAGAGAGGGGAAGCCCGTGGGCCTACTGGAGGCCGAACCTCTTTGCGGCCCCAGGATTCCAATCTGCGGCCGGTCAAAGGCTTTTATAGGAGAGTCTTAAATTCCTTTTCGTTTAGGCTCTTACTATCTGTTTTACAGCTGGTTTGGAAGGTGGAATTGATGTTCTCGTGGATAGAGGAATGTATGCGAATACAGAGGAATTTCATGAACGAAATAATAATAAGTAGATAGAACCTGTTATCGAAGTTTTTTTCTTTTCGTATTCATCCCTTGAATAAACATTTTCTCATCTCTTTAGAATTTTCAATAATGGAAATTATTCAAATTTATACAGATTTTGTTGGAAATTTAATATACATAATTATAAGCTTTACCGATCGAAGGAAATATTATTATAAACGAGTAAAAACTCCTAAGAAAATAGAGTTACATGATGTTATATTTTATTTTAAGTAGTTATAGCTAGAAAAGCTAAATACACCGGACATAAGGAAAAAGTTTCAAGAGGATATTGCGTTCATCTATTACAATTATTATCCGTTATGATCTCTTATTTCTCCTTTAGTTAATTATCAAATTCTTCCATATTTTATATTTAAATAATTTTATATTAGAGATAAATGTGAAACGATTAATTACTTCAAATTAAAAAAAAAAAAATTAAGGTACTTTAGAGGAAGCCAATGATGAAACTTAGCCATTTATGCCCTGATAGAGAACATCAATGAGAATAAAAGTTACATTATATAAAAAACTACTTAATATTTATTAACACGCCACGATTTTTATTTTATTTTACTAGGAGTATACTAGCCTAACGGCGGACCAACTAGACCTAACCAACGGACTCATTATACAACTATTTGTTTAACATGTGTTCAGCTTCTGTAACCTTCTACTCTCCTAATACAAAATAAAGATTTGAGACCTGAAATTTCCTGGTGATGGTTAAGTGGCGCAACGTTTAAGGGTTAATTTGCATTTGTTTTCCAATCATTAAGATTGAACGAATATGATAATTTATCTGAACTTTGAAAGATTTAATAATCATCGGTTAATTAGTTGTAAATATTTTGAAATTTTTTTTTTTTTTAAATACAAAAACAAAGGATTAAATTCGTACAAGTGATAACTTGTATCGCGAACACATGAGCTGTACTTGAACTTGCTTTGATTGAAATTGTAATTGAGCTTGACGTTGCTGAGAAACTTGCTACAAAGAAAGGAAATCATGATCATTGAGTACTAATTCATATTAATTTACTATTACGAAATATTTGAGTTTAAAGGCTATATCCAGAGAATCTAGCATTTTGTCCTACAGGTAAATTATGGGTTGTTGGGGGGAGGGGGGAAGGAGGGGAGGGTACACAACTAATGCGAGCTTTGGAAAGGGCACCCAGAACCCAATTCGAATTCATTCATTGGTTGGACTACACTAGCGGACTCCAGTGATTTAACTTTTAGGTGGGCAACGTTTGAGCCCAAAAGATTTTTATTTCATATATACAACAATAACTTCATGTTGGTAAATAAGAGAAATAATAAACTACCTATATGAAATGCTGTTTAGTGATCTGTGAGCAGTGGGTCCTCACTTCAAATCGTAGCATGAAACGAGGCCACATAATACTTTAAGACATGATTTTTTAATATTGTTTACCATAAAACATGGTTAAATTTTACCGTTTTTGGGGGAGGGCTTCAGACCGAAAGTCTCCCCCTCTCCCCCGTAGATCCGCCTGTAGTTTGATATAAACCTCCCACATACCTGTGTTACCAACTGCATCAATCCACATTACATCTGATTTTGGTCGATAGCTGAGTGGCAGATAAGGATCAAACAAAAAATAATAATCTTTCTATTATATAAAAAAGTTTTTTGTGACCGCCATATTTTATTTTACAAATACGAAGACAACCAGGGTGAAAATCTCTATTTATTATTGAGAGTATAGGAGTTTACAGGAGCCCAACTTTTGAGTCAAGTCCTGTAGGTGCGACAGTGCTTCTCTCGTACGGCGATTATTCGAATTATTATTTCTCGTAAAAATTTCAGGTCTGAAATATTTATTTTGTATTAGGAGAGTAGGAGGTTACAGAAGCTGAACTCATATGTAATTAAACGAACAGTTGTATAATTCGTATAATGTACAATAAAAAATAAACTCACAAAACATGGGTAAATTAAAAACATAAAAACACAGTCATACCTGTATATAGTATATACAGTCAGGCAGAAAACCCAAGCCAGGCTTCTCCCTCCAACTATAGAAGAAAAGCAGGACTCCAAGAAATCCCTGCGCTTCTCTCTCAACCGCGTCACTGGTGCTAAAGCCAATGGAGTTTAGGCGAGAGCCCTTTAGCCACATACACTCATATCTTGAGTGAAGCATCTGGCCATTGGCAGAACTCCAAGATATATACAACAAAAGATCTCTAAGGCACTGCCGCTTCAACCTTCGAGGAGGATTGTGGACATGAGTAGAAAGGGGAACTAGATAGGGATTGTGCAAGCGGATTTTGATGATTTATAAGGTTCTGATGGAATTAGGAAAAAAAATTCAGGGATAAGGTCAAGGGTAGAATAGGAAAATAGGATGGTATTATATAAGTAAGTGAGAAATATAAGAGCTTTATGAGGAAGTTATCGAAGGTTTTAAAATAAAATTAAATATATATAAAAAAATATATATACTGAAATATTTCTAGGCACTTAGTTTATATATTATAAGTTTATAAAATCAATAATTGACATATAAATTCGTAAAAGGAAATGGTTAGTGATAAAGAAAACAACAACATAAATACAATACATTAGACGACGGTGAAAAACTTATATTAATTCATTGTTTTAAGTAATATTTTGTTCCGTCTGTAATTTTTACTTTAAGTTCAATTCAACCGCAACAGATTTTTTATTTTTCTTGTTCACAAAGGCTTGTGAAAGCTCTGCTAATGCTCTGTCCGGTTTAAGCTAAATAAATAAGATTTAGCAGAGATTGGAACGAGAGATTCGGTAGTTAGAGGAACGAGAGATTCAGTAGAGAGAGAGAGAATCAGACAAAGGAACAACAACAAATACAACAATAATAATATTAACGAAGAGAGAAGTGGATAAATAAACAAGAGGTAAAGGGTAAAACACGAGCCCCTGATGAAAGGCAAACACAGGCGAGAGAGATTTCAATAAGCCTTTGCCGATTCGAGTTCTCGTGCGGCCGGCGGCTTAACTGCCAGGGTCGGTATCCACGTGTGGATTTAGCATTTAGTCGAATCTAGCGTGTCATCTCATCTCGGATATGTTCGCCTTGATATATCTTTCTTCTCAAACAATTCTTAGTGTAATATGTAACAAAACATATAGAAGAAAGTACTCGAAGAAGGCCGAAAAGGAGCTGGTTGAGAGATCTCTAGGAGTAAATGTATATATTTATAGTTAAAGATGCCGTCCTACATTTCGTAAGTTGTACATTTTATATACCCACATATATTATTACGGTAAGGTTTGAAATCGGTATTGTACCAAATATAAGTTCCTGTCATACTCAAATAATATGAATGTGGTACCGTTGGATTCAGAATATCACCGGGCTTGAACGACTCATACTCACCGCTTTTGTTTTTTTATTATTTGTTGTTACTCTCTGAAATTTTATGTTTCTAAAATAAATATAGTCGACATAAACATTTTTCGCTAGGTTTCAATACTGGAACGGTGGTAAGTCTGTAGATAGGTACGGGACAAATTGGGCTTTGAAGATTGTTATGCGTACACTCGGATTAGTGTTGCCAAAATGCGAGACCGAGATGAGTCTTGGTCTTGCAAACTCAATCTTGGTCTTGTGCAAGAATCTCGTAACAGTCTTGCAGTTACTTATTAGCTTATTACTATGAAGATATTACTTTTTATATAGGACAAACCTAACTAAGCCCGAATGAAAAATTAGAGGAGTTAAATGCAAAAGTACATTGGTTATATCAATTATTAACATATAGTAACTAAGATTGTCAAGTATTAATAATTGTTTTGCCTTAATTTTTATTTAAAAAATCGATTTTTTTACCAGTCCTGGTTTTGGTCATGTAATAGTTAGGTGGCCTTGCTTGGTCTTGAAAAGTGCAAGACCAAGATCGATTACGAGCAACACTAACTCGGATAGTTCCATCGGAACTATCGGGCCCTGCGTTTTAAAGAACAAAAAACGTACCATTTTCGAGATAATGCAAGACAAAGGGTTCACATTCACACAACTTCGAGTTAATCGTAGTGCTTGCCATGGGAAATACAAGCGGGAAAAATAGTCCCATCACCCTGAAAATTTAGGTAAAAAAGTTATGAAAGAAAGGAAATTTTATTTTGCGAATTAAAAAATTACACACTTTTGTGTAATCCGACATTATTATGGGCAAATCTGGTGTTATTTCCATAATTATATAAAATATTTCTAAATAACCTAATAAAGAGGAAAAAATTCATCAAAATTGGACAATTATTAGCAAAAATACATATCGGTTCCATTTCATACATATTCGATAATATTTAGGGAGGAAGTAACAAACTATTTATTTATCTTATGACACGTTGCATTATTTTATTTTATAATTAATTTGCCATTTGATCATTGAACAATGTAGTGTGTGAATTTTTCGCCCAGGCCGACTAGTTTTTAATCTAGACCAGATTTTATACTACGCGGTGCCAATAATTTAGTTTCCCACCTGAACTTACTTTAAAAAGAAAAACTATTAATTATTAGTCCTTGGTACAGACCTCTTTTTATCAAATTGTTAACATCTGCTTGAAACTTCGTAAATAGTTTCATCTCATCTTAACCTACAATTATTTTATTTACAAAATTCTTGTAATTGAGACGTTTTCAATCTGAAGGATGGCAAACTTTGTTTATTTAATTATTTACTCGTTAAAACCTCGTAAACACCCATTTGCTTTCTACTTGGATCGTTAGGTAATTTGATCACAAAATCGATAAAAAAGGTTACATACAAAATTAATGTGCCGTTTGTCATATATAACTTAGTTATTTTTAAAATTTGGGGGTGTAGGTCACGCCAAACGGGTCAATAT